CGGACAGCCCTCCCGCCCTCCCGCATTTTGTTTTATGGTTCATTATCGGAACGGAGACCTCAGAGGGCTTGCACTCCTCCATTATCTCTTTCAAGAAATCCCTTAAACCTCTGCAGTGTGCAGCTGGGCGAGGGAGGGCCGAGACCTGGCGCTGGCTGCAGAGGGCCGGGTCTGTCACACGCGTCCAGTCTTCAAGGGGATAATTGTGAGGTGGGTTTCAGGCAATTATGCGGTCGGGGGAGGGACGGGGGAGCCCGGTGAGAGTTTTCGGGGGCCACACCCACACCCCCACCTTTGTCCTGAGCCCAGCCTGGCTCCAGAGGAGCTGAGACAGGCCATAAAACGGCTTTTATGTGATCGTCTCTACCTTTTCGGAGGCCTCCCCTCTCCCGCCGGGAGCCCTGGGAAGAGAGAATTACATCAGACCTGGCTAATGGCGCAAAATAAGCCATCAGAACCCTTAATCAAGTCTCCGTCTTGGACACGTTACAATTCTGTAAATTAAATATCCAAAGGAAAATAAAAGCTCTTTTATTTCAGGTTCGAAGGCCCTTTCGGTCCCCGGAGTCACGAACCTGAGTCAGTTTCTCTACTGAGGTGCAGGGCGGGCAGGGACAAGTCCCGGCTCCCCAGGCCCGGCCGGGCTTCCTCTGCCCACGCCCGCGTGCCGGCTGGGACACAGCGGGGCGGCCCACCCCGAGCTCCGGAAAGAAGGGTCCTGGCCTCAGGGGGCCCAGGGATGGCCCTCGCCGGCCCAGCCTCCGGCGGGCGTCCAGCCGGAGACCAACACTGAGAAAGGCTGACGCTGCAAAGCAGCTCCCGCCCCGGTCTGTGGAGACCCCGCCGGCCAGAGGGGAGGAGAGGCCTGCGCGGTGAGGTCAAAACCAAGTGGCCTTAGGCAGAAGAAGACTCCCCGGGCCTCCCAGGGGGTCAGGGGTGAGTCTCGAGCCCCCAGCCACTGCGGCCGAGTCCACGCCGGCCGGGGCCACCCCCAGGGCGCAGCAGCCCCTCTGCAGCGTGTTTCAGTGCACCCCTGTTCTGCTCCCTACTGCTATGGGGAGTCCTCTCATCCCCGCACCTCTGGCCTGCACCCCAGTTCTGCCCACAAACAAATAAATCTAAAAATTTTTAAAAGGGTCTAAGATGGCGAACAATTTACGAAGGCCACGTAGCACCACCGTGCAGCACGTCCGTGGCATCCGCGTCTGCAGAACTGGACAAGCCACACGGTGGACCGGGGCTCCCCGCGGCCCCTGGGGGAGCAGCTGCCAGCCCCCACGGGCTGAGGCGCACCGGGAAGGCCTGAAGCTGTAGCTGAAGGGCGAGCGGCGGGAACGGGGCGCCCCCGTTTAATTCAAATGCAAGTACAATTACTTAGTGAAACCATGTAGGTTGTGCCAATTAGAGTAACTCGGGCACCAACACTGTTAATTACACCTGTGGCCACATGTTGGTGGGAGGGTGATGGCGAGCTGCACCTCTGCTCCAGGCAGCTGCTCCCGCGGGCCGGTGGGCGCCGCGGCTGGTGGGTGCCCTGGCTG